CCCAAATATGCCATTTTCTACTATACTCTCTGATGTCCACCTTTCAGATTCCATCACCACAGGAGATATTATCACAGGCAGGGTCTGTGGGGATTATTCCCACAGTCTGATCAACTGGCAGTCACCAAATGGGACTTCATACCCACAAATGAGGAAACTGCCCCAAATGTCCTGACGTCATATATCAGAAGAATTTAGAATCACCAGCACCATCCTTATTAGAAAAGCATTAACTCCTGAACCTGGTTTTATAGAATTAATAACTGTGAAGCAAAATGAAATATTCAAGCATTTTCTACACGTTTTCCAACAGCCAGGTGTCTGGATCTATGTATACAAAACATCCAGATAATTGACTGAAAATGTAAGTATTTGTCATGATATTTGCTGTCGTGTTAACACAGTTTATGCTGAGAAATGTATTTTTGGAACTGCCGTATTCATCTCCTTACAAGATAGGTAGTTTTGCAGATTTCTTTAAGTGTTAAAAAAAACCTATCAAGAAAAGCTACGCCATACTCAATTAAAGGATGTGTTTGTTATTGAACATTTTTATTCAGATGATTCTACCATCTGCACGTCAAAGGGATCCTAAGATCTCTAGCTGCTAAAGCGTTCCGTTTTGAATTCCAAGGAGCACACAGATCTGAGTTTGAGGGGAGAACTGCCACCTCATCCTTCCCCATTCATGATCAGACCACCCTCACGTCACCAACTCCTCCCTTACGCCCCGATGCCTCCACGTTCGACAGGGAGAGCCCCTCGGCTTGCTGCTGTCTGACTCTGAAAATGGGTCGCATACTCTTTCACTGGGGCTACGAATGCCCTGCCCTCTCACAACCTGCCGGGAGCTTTATTTCTTTGTCTACAAGATGAAGATGACAGTCGCACCTGACTCACAGGGTTGTGGGAGACTCCACGGGATAATGCATCCGAGCGCCCACCAAGGCCGGACACATGCTAGGTAGAATGTCCAGTGGCTTAAAAGGCTCTCAAAGTGTCGAGGAAAGACTGTGGTTCTCTCTTATTTCCCGGCATCGTGCGAAAGCCACCTGCACCCCGCTCACTGCTGCCCCGACTTGCCAGTTTCCTCTGTTCACCTAATTTCGAGCCCCGTTCTTCCCCCACAAATGGCTGAGCACATCCTCGGTATCATTCAGCAGTTAGTGTTGGTGCTGCATATATTTGCATTTAATTATATGTTACCATCCTGTATATGGGTATGGCTTAGCTTTTCCAATTAGGCTGCACTTTGGTACTTCTGACATACTTTACCCTGGCACTCCTGTTTCTGAAAGTATCGTAATGCTTGCCTCCATGCATCCACTCAACAAGCATTTGCATTTGTCGTTTGTTCTGTGTAAGCGTTAGGAATATATAGACGCGACCAGATAGGCAGCATTTCCGAATCTTGCTTCTGGTGGACGGAGACAGACGATGGTCAGTCAGGTCAATAGGCAGCTTGTCTAATGGGAGTTTGGGGAGCAGTGGTGTTATTGTTATTACGTCACACGTCAGGGATTTTGCTGAAGACCCAGGAAAATGGAAAACGAGTCGCGCAGAGACTTGTGGGGCAGACCACAGCGAATGCGAACTCCTGAGGCCAGAGCACGCCCTTTGTGTCGGAAGCACCGCGGAAGGCCCCAGTCCAGAGCAGGGGGAGCAGGGACAGAGCCTGGGAGCTAGTGAGGGGGGCGTGAAGGCCAGGTTCCACGCAGCTGTATGGGTCAGGACTAGAGCCTTGTGCTTCGCGTGTCAATGATTTTGGAAGGCCTGGGCCTGCTGAGGGCCTCCGTTGGTGCTGAAGCTTTAAAGTGCTCCTTCTGTGCACCACGGGAAGAACAGACCTGGCTGTCAGGGTCAAGGACAGAAGGCAGAGACTCTCAGGGAAGCACAAGAATCCAAATCCAACAACAATTTAATGACTATGTTCTTCACTTCCTGTTCTTCATGATGGCTGTTCACGAACTTGCTTTATCCTCCTTGCTGAATTATACAACCTGTGTAAGCCAGAATGCCAACAGATTTATATTTTTGGACACCACAGTTCTTAAACCAAGAAAAAGTATATGTATCAGTGTCCAAAGGGTCCAAAAGTCCACTGCCATCACACCCCTCATTCTGGTTGTTCTCTCCCGCCCCGCAAGATCCGGCATACCTTCTCTCCTTGCAGAATGCCTTAATATAGCAGACACATGTCAAGGCATCTCACCTGGTATTGCAAAGGAAAAATGAAGGTGAAAATGGAGGACACAGAGGATGCGAGGATATAGTTCTTATGCTCAAGGAATCTTTATCATGACGATAAAAGCTAATCGAACACACATGTGTCTTTGTGTGTCTGGTTTGTTTCACATATTTTATGTGTTCCTCTCATACTTGACTCAAACTACATATCTTTTCTATATATGATTTTATAAAATATAAAATCACACTTATACTTAATATTCCCAATTTGTAAAATTTCATATCTGGTATTTGACTTACGTTCGAGCTGCGCCATGCATTATACTTTGGGAATAATTAGACAGAAATTCAAGGAAATAATATAACATGAGTTTTATTTTCTTTTTCTGAGTCTCATTCAAGGCTATTCCGTGTGTGTGTGTGTGTGTGTGTGTGTGTGTGTGTGTGTGTAAACTATGGATTGGAGTCAGTGAAAATTATAAAATATAGTTGTCCAAACCAAGGTGACATAAAGGACTACTTTTTTTTAAATCACAGTGACACAGTTTAATTCCGTTCTTCCGTGATAGCTCTTGGCATGCCCAAACAGAGGAACTGTGCTTGTGCTACAGTTACTGGTTAATCCTCCAGTCTTTCTGATACCCTCAAGCACAAAGAGAGCTGACCCTGCCTCTAGGGGAAGGGCAGTGCCCGGCAGAGTGTTCTAAATCAGACTTTCACGGTAAAATACCCGTTAATAATTAATTTTCTGCTTCCTTTAGAATAGGACAGGTTAAGCAGTTGGTCACATTCAGTAAATAAGAAATTACTTGCAGTAATTTCTGCAACATTCTAATCATTTCCCACTTCTGAAACCTATTTTGAAAGTCTTTGATCTGCATTATGGTGGAGCGGACGTTGAATGTGGAAAGAGACGTGGTTAGGAATTCAGCTCTGCCACCCGTCACGCTATGGCTGGGGCGCGTCACTTAGCCAAACCTCTCCAAGGGGGTCTCGGTGATGACGGGCGTGTCACCCCATACCCCAAGGCGCGGTTTTGAGCGGCCACAGGAGAGCATGTGCAGGCCACAGAGGTGGTCACACCACGGGCTGGGTGGACCCGATGGCAAGTGGCCGGGAATGATCACCGTCCTGGCGGTGGGACGACCGAGGACTGTCCCCGGCCAGCACCAGTGTGGTCTTGTGAAACAGGAAGTACGGCCCTCCGTCTCCTTCCTGCATACTATTAAGAACAACAATGAACTACAATTGTTTAACCACATCATTCGAGGGGGTTTTATTTTCTTCATTAAATGCATAAGGAAAGGCTCTTCCATTAACAAGGACCTTGATGACCTCTAGGGCTAGGAGTCGGTCGGCGGCCCGACTGCAGATCAGGTTCCGCAGTGTGCCTTGGGCCTCACGTCCCCCCCCCCCACTGATTAGTTTCATGCAGTTGACAGCAGTCTACCCTGTGGTTTTCCGCTTGCAATTTTGTAGCAATCTCAAACACGTGTTCCATCCCCCCAAGGTGTTCTGTGGAAATGCTGTCAAACCATTTCGAAGTGTGTGTGTGTGTTTTCCTTCTGTAGCTGTGCTTTGTACTCATTTAAGAAAACCAGTCTGTAATTTGCAAGATGAAACCTAGAACTCCAGGCCTCAGCAAAATCACTGGCATGTGACCGGCCTCCTTCTGTTGTAAATCTTCATGTGCCTGGATTCTGTGATACGAAGCTGCGTGTTTGAATCTTTTCATAGAATATGGCGGAATACTTGGCTTCACATTTGGCCTTGGAATCTCCTGACTGTCGTCATGCTGGCCACCCTCGCCTGGCTCTGGAGTACCTCTCCAGTGCCTCACTCCTCCTCTCTGGGTCTTCCGCAGCCGCATACTTCCCTCAGGGCCTTACCTGCTGGCTTTTACCTGGCGTTGCCCCCAGCCGCACCCCTGTCTAGAATGCTGTGTCTTCTATGGCTCACCTCTTCCCCTCAGGCACTTCCCATTTCAGAAAGCCTTTCTTTAAGTCCTCAGCACCCTTTCCCAGTCAGTAACTCTATTGTCTCTCATGTACCTTGTGTGTGACTTAGTCAAAATATTCTATTGTCCGTATGGTAATAATTGGTCGGCTTGACTGTCTTCCTAACTAGACTAAAACTTTTAGAGAACAAGGGCAACATCTATTTGAATCCATAAATAGGTCCCTTATAAGTGATCGTTGGATTAATGAATGCGTCCTAAAAAACACTCTGGTCTGTTGATTGAAAGACACCAACAATTGCTACTAAAAGCATTAGGTTTGCTACCTTTAATTACAAGAGCAACAGCAGGCTATGGTTTTATCAGTAAAATGCTGTTAATTGTTTCACTGTACAGGCTTACCCATCTGCAAATATAAGTTATTTTTTGAAATAAACACATATATGGTGCCATGCTTTCTGTGTCTGGTACATTGTATTTGGTATTGAATCTGTCTAGCTCATAAACCTGTTCTATTTTTTGCAATTTCAATAAAAGAAATATGCCTCAATGTAGAAAAGTGTTATTCAAACTAATGTAACTTTTTTAGGTGTATTGGCCACATAGACAGAATTTAAAAAGACTGCAACCAGTTCTGTGTTGAAATACACATGCAAAACCATGTGCAAGTGTCATTTCATCTTTGCATTGGAAATGGAAGGTGTATCAGTATGCTCATGTCTCCTGAGTTTATGTCTGGTGTTTGCATTTGATGCTGTGCTATAATTCAGCAAGAGGAAATAATGCTCAGAACAAAAATAATGCCGTCTCTCATTTTCATTTTGATTAATAGTGTTCTATCTTCTGTAATTTGTAGGTGTTATTTGGAAGATGGAGCTTCAAAGGGTGCCTGGCTGAACCGGTCAAGTATTATTTTTGCGGGAGGTGATAAGTGGTCAGTGGATCCTCGCGTTTCCATTTCAACATTGAATAAAAGGGACTACAGCCTCCAGATACAGAATGTGGACGTGACAGATGACGGCCCATACACGTGTTCTGTTCAGACTCAGCACACGCCGAGAACAATGCAGGTGCATCTCACTGTGCAAGGTATGCGTTTTCAGAACCGCTGCATTGTGAAGAGCTGTGCTTGGAAGTATTTAGGTATCAATGATACATCAAGAAAGGGACTGGCTGTAGCAGGACACTGCCAGGGTAGGGAGGGGGGCACATAGCATCCACGAGGGGACCTGGTCTCAAACCAGGTGAAGCGGGGACCAAAGGGAGGCCCAGGCTTCACCTTTACGGGGACCACTTGTATTACTAAATCTGAATTGCAACCCACATCTTTAAAATATTTTTTTAAAAAAATAACATTGTCAATGTCTTCATTGTAGTAGCATACTATGAATTTTATGGTTTCTTTGTCAATATTTTGTATCATATCACTGAAAAATACAATTGTGACATGTATAGTTCTGTTTCTAGCAGGAGAGAATCCCCACATCTTACAAGCTGATTGAAGTTTTCCCAAATTTAACAATTCTAAAAATGTATACAATCTTACTGGTAATGAGTGACACAACTGAAGGACATTTTTCTAAGCCATAGAGAGGCAATTAAAGAGTACAAAGCCAAAGGATGGTGGACAAAAAGGCATTAGAGCAAGTTGTCGGGCAATTAATTAAAAATCTGTTATTTTATACTTTTTCGTGATGTTTGCAGTATTTACCAACTTCTTAACTGAATTTTATTGTGGTTTATTTCTCATTTTAAATAAATGTACATGTTTACACATAAAAAAAGTAATGTTTAGGCGTCAAAATGACTCACTGAGACTTAACAATGTCTTCAGGGCTTTATGTTCCTAGACACCATTACATGTAATGGCTATCACAAGCACACAGATCCCCACTTACAAAGATTTTTAAAAATCCATGAATACCATGTTATGTATGACTTTTGTGTATGCTTCACTTCATATCTTCCTCTGAATTACTTCTTCAATAAATCTTTGAGAGCCCGTGATTGATACATTAAATATTTGAAAACCTAGGATAGATACATTGACACATTAGAGCATTTTAAAATACAGATAGTAACTCTTTATTTGTGTATTTATTTTTATTTTAAAGATGTGGGGTACAATTCAGGGTTGGGGACAAAAGTGGTCACTGTACAGGTGAAGCTTGGGCCTCCCGCTGATCCTGGCTTCACCTGCTTTGGGATCAGGTACCCTTATTAGTGTTATGTGTCACCTCCCTCTAAAAGCAATTTTCCAAGACTCCTAGTGCTCTGTCTCAATCTAACCTCTTTGATTTTGATTTAAATCACAATGAAAAGGAATAGCCTTCTATAATGGCATTTCTCAAATATGGAAGAATTGAAAAGTAGGTACACAATGGTTTTATACTTTGATTTGCTTTAAACATATCATAAGTCATGCTGACTAACTTTTAGTCTTAAATATAAACAGAATCATCAAATGATTTTGCCTCTCTTGCATGCTAAAATGGAAAAGTACAGGTACCCTACGTGCAAATACTTTTCAAGAAAAATGCAATTATAATACTAGGAGAATGGAAAATGTTTATCTTTGCCCTTTTACATTATCTCCTTATGCTTTATCATTAATCACATATTATATAGAGATATTATGCACTATGGAACTAAAAGAATAACATTGCAATATTTCTAAGTAAAATTTATAGCAAATTATATGATAACGAGGTACCAGTGTATGCATGTTTTATTCCTAATACAAAAGTTGTATGAGCAAGCTAGTTGTACTATCTCTGAGCTTACTTTCAATAAGTCCAAGCTAAAAGTTAACTTAGGTATATAGCTTAAGCCTGGAAGGAATTGTTGATCTATAATCTTATTAACTGAACTTTATTTCCTTACATAAAGATAAACCAGAATTCAAATACAGCTTCATTTGTCAGTACAATAAATATTTTAACTTTGTGACAAGGTTAAACTTCTTAAACGATGATCTTTAAGGAGGAAAATATAAATTGAAAAATAAGTCAATGAATTTTGTCAGTGTTTTTCCTTATTGCAGATTATGGACTGTCATGATGTTAACTATTTAAAAGTAGCATATGAGAATGTAATAAAATTTTCCATCTTTATTCAGAGATTATTCCAGGACTCCCTAAGGGCAGGAATTTTTCCAACTTCAAAAACTGACATGAGATTATAAGACAAAAACACATTTCTTATGTTATCCAAGCCTAATCCTGTTCTCTTGTTCAGTTCTGTGCCCTTTGACTTGAGTTTCTAGCTCAAAGAATATAAAAGATGTTCATTATGTAAGAAAATGTGTACTCGGACAATAATATATGCCAGTCATTTAAGATACAGACATTTTGCTTGTGCATTTTAAACTTGTAGGCTTAAATGATATATTTCTGAATAACAAATATATCCCCTTCCTTTTTGCCTTTTCTCTGGCCCCATGTTAGTCCTATACTTTAAGCCAGACTGTGGATGTTTAAGCCCTATCCAGCACATGTTTAATTCTCACAGGATTTTAAAAAACTTTATATGACATAAATTGTTTGATATTGCTTACATTTTTAAAACTTTTTCATGCCTTACTATAGCACCTTTTATTTTTGGCCATCTGTGAATTTTTGAACAGCTAGGAATGTACCTATTGAACGTTCTCAGTTAAATATTCTGTTACACTAAAAGAAAGAAAATCTGGCCAGGCGCGGTGGCTCATGCCTGCAATCCAACACTTTGGGAGGCTGAGGCAGGAGGATTGCTTGAGTCCAAGAGTTCGAGATCAGCCTGGGCAACACAGACTGACCTCATCTCTACTACTACTACTACTACTAATGATACCAACAACAGGGCATGGGGGCTCACCCCTGTAGTCTCAGCTACTCAGGAGGCTGAGGCAGGAGAATAACTTGAGCCCAGGAATTCAAGGCTGCAGTGAGCCATGAGCATTCCACTACACTCCAGCCTGGGTGACAGAGTAAGACCCTCACCTCAGAGAGAGAGAGAGAGAGAGAGAGAGAAGCTATGTTACTGTTTTGAAAGTGCATGATTGGTTCAACGTAAATGCTAATAATTTTACAGTATTTATGGATATAATTACTTATTAGAATTTGATTGACATGTGGGCAGTTTTCCAATTACATTAATAAAGTTCAGGGAATACATTAATAGGCTTGTCAGTCAATTCAAGAACTGAATAAATGTCGTAAAAAGTCAGCCCTGCTTAAGCTACTTTTCCTCTCAATGAGAAGGACTGCTGTATACATCTCTCCAGCCTCCAAATGCATCCGGTTGTCTGATGCTCAGTGTGTCTGGACAGCTTGGAAGCAGGTGCTCTTTACCCAGCAATGTGTCCATCCTTCATTCACCAAGTTAAAGAAATTCAGCAAGTGAGGCCTGATGTCAAGCATACACTTGCTGGTAAAAACAAAGTTCATCCTCAGTTGCCGCAGCAATGTACTCAAGGGAGCTATTTAAAAAAATATTTCAAGAGGGGATTTAAAAGGGGGAAGACATCTTAACAACGCAGACACTACGCATGTGAAATTTTTTCATGCTACTGATTTATTGGAGCTATTAAGGTAAATAAATGAAGCAACGGGGGAGGAAAGGCACTAAAGTGGGAGAGGGAAAAGCTGCTTGTAATCCTGACTTTTCCCTCGTAAGTGGGTCCTTATCAACCTCTCAGAATTCTAGCTTTTGCATTTGAAGTAAGACTTAGGCCAGAAGATCTTTAGGGTCTATGCCAGTTAAACATAAAGAGATGAGGGACAAAAATAGACAAAAAATAAAATGAACACACAAAAACAGGAAAAACTCACGATGACTATTTGTTTCCATTTAAAAGGAAAGAAATGTATTCCAGTTCAAAAATGGAAAAAAATCGTAACTCTGATTCGGCACCGTGCAAACTATTTTTTACATACAATCACTGCTAATATTTATTTCACGCACACATTTTATTTTAAATGTATGATCAGTATGTACTCACGGAACTTGAAGAATGTGATAATTTGTAGTTTGGCTTTAAGGGGGTAGAAATTGGGTAACAAACTTTGTAAGGGAACCAAAAAAAAAAGTATTGTTAATACCAATATATGACATTATACTGATAAATCAGATTACCTAATTATTTAGTGTTTCAGACCACATGGTAAAACTTTTTCAAGAGCGACCTTCCTTGTTTATAACTCTAAAAATGTACGAAGCTGGAGGACTTTTTATGAAGCCAGCGCTGCCTGTGACAATGCTGCAATGATAGGAAGCATGAACAGTAGAGACGGCAGGGTCCTGCTATGGCTTAAAAGTGTCCCTCATCGTTCACATGTTGGAAACCTAGCCCTCAGCCCAGCAATGTTGAGCAGTGGGGCCTAATGAGATTATTTGCTTGCATGAGCCCTCCCTCACGAATGGATCCACGTTGTCACAGGACTGGGTTAGTTATCACAAGAGTGGGCTGGGGATGGAAGTGAGTTTGGACCCCTCCTGCTCCCCTGCTCTTGCGTTCTCTTGCCCATCTGTCTCCTGCCAGGTGATGATGCAGCACAAATGCCCTCTCCAGATGCCGTCACCATGTTCTTGGACAAGTCAGTCTCCAGAACCATGAGCCAACTACATTTCTGTTAATTATAAATTACCCAATTTGTGGAATTCTGTTACAGCAACATAAAACAAAGACAGATGGTCCCACTTTGAGTTCTCAATAACATCTAGGTTGTGTGTAGCACCAGTGAGGCACTATAGACGTTGTGTATCAAATAAGCGCTTATGAAATGTTTATCACTCAACTCATGCCCATTCAGGAAAATATAGCCTAGATTATCTCTAGGCAGAGTAAAAGGAGATTGGACTAGCATATAGCCTTATGACCAACATATCTTATCAAGGGTATTTAACTTCCCCAGGGTGTTGTACTTTCTTTAGGGTGTCTAACTTACTGAGTATTTGTGAAATACCTTTCTCTTTTAAAGGATACCTGCTGGGCATGCAGTCAGCAGACAGCATTCCCTGTTCAGCCCTTTTAAGGATGATGTCAGTTGCAGAGAGCACCTTGCCCAAGCTAACGTCCAATGAATGATTGAGGCAGAGGTATACATACC